ACCTTCATTAAGTGTCATTATTTAAGCAGTAAAATGTAGAAACAAATAATTAGGAATCTGTAATGCCTATAAAATATTATTTCTTTGTAGCTATGCTTCTTAAAATGCTTCATAGTCCATTAAAAGAATGCAAATATTTTACTTTTTCCTATCACATGTTAATTTTTGCTTCACAATAGAATAAGGAAGTAAGAAAAAATAGAGAAAGAAATATTGCATTAATATAATTAAAAGATCAGAGTCAAAATGTCCTTATTGAAGATTTACCTAACATGTCAAATATATGCAATTTTAAATATGAATCATAGGGAAATTATTTGAACCATGTGGTAACAAGTAATATCTATATTGAATTTCAATAAATATTTGTTGAATAAATGAATTGTACTAAGCAGTTATAATATGAATAAAGATAATCCTCTATTAATTGAACATATTACTATCAGTTATAGGAGAGGAAAAAAATGGAAGAGAATACTTTCAAGTTTATACCACAGAGGAGAACCTTAAAATACAACATAAAGAATTTTAGAACTGGAGGTCTTTTTGAGATGTGGTAGACTGCCTTTCCTATTTCAGAGATGAGAAAACTGAAATACAGAGAAAAGATACACATCTACAAATGATAACAGTAACGGGAAGAAGTGAGAACAAGACCCATATCTTCTGACTTCCAGTTTTTCAATTTCTTCCACTATACAAATTAGCCATAACATTTCTTACTTTTTAACTTCTCTCAATGTTCTAGGAAGTGCTAAATAAATAGTAAAATATTACATAAAAGAAAAAAATAATTGTTTCCTAAATTTCATTAATTGCCAACTATAAAAATTATGAAGCATACAATTTTTAAATAATTTCAAATGTAAAAAAATCAACTAAATGTTTAATACAGTTTAACTTTCATTTTTCTGCAATTTCATTTTCTTAACAAAAAATACAGTTTTAAAAATGGTTATTTCACTCATCCTCCTCTAGATCCCACCCTTAGATCCTCTAGTCCAGTGGTTCACAACCCTCTTCCACCCCAAGATCTCTTAGTAAAAGAATACATTTTTAACATCCCTTTTAATACCCTGAAAATGAAATTCAGAGGTAAAATATCCTAACCATCCATATAATTTTTAAGATAGACATATATATTCCTAACTGTATAATAAAGGGGAAATAAATAATTTATAAAAAATAAAATATATTTAAGTAAGTAAATGCTCAGGCATAATGACTCTAGATGTCATAGTAAAGCAATCAGATGCTTGCAGCTACATGAATGTAGTCAAACTGCCACCAGGTAGCTGGCGTGGCGTCCACCTTCTGTCCCCTACTCAATAAATGTGTCAGAACAATAGACCAAAATGTGGAATTATGTTGCCTCTAAGAACCACAAAGCTTCACTAAGTCTTATGTTTCCAAGTGGTAGTGTTATAGAGGACAACTGCCACTGAGCCATTAAAGGAGCTGGTGCTTCCCTTCCTAATATATTTCTAGATGCCTTTGTGCCTTGCTCCAGGTCTGCTCCAGCAATATTGGCACCACGTGGGAGTTTGTTAGAAATACAGACTCTCAGGTCCTACCTCAGACCCATTGAATTAAAATCTATATTCTAATAAGATCATCAGGTTATATGTCTGTAAATTAAAGGCTGAGAAGCCACGGGGCACTCCAGGAGACATAGCAAGGGAGCGGGTAAGCAAATTGCACATAACAAAAACATGGTTATCTCAAAACTCATTTTGAATTGAAAACCTCTAACAATGTTTTGCATCTACATTCATAATAAACATTTGCCATTTTTATGAATAAATGAATTAAGTAAATACTTATTAACTCAAAGCTAAGGTCTAGGGCCAACTTAGTATTCATTCATTCAATAAACACTAAGCGTCTATATGTAAAGCACTGTGCTAAAACCTGTGAGAGAAGCAAAAAATCATAAAGCAGGTCAAAATTACTGTAGCATGTAGTTAAAGATTAAACTAAAGCTCCTTAAAAGAAGGACACGTAACATACTTTTCTATCTCTCAAACATAGTTCTAGGTCCATAGAGATTTAAATTTAATTGAACCAAAGCTTCTCTTTTTGAGGCCACTGTATGAGATGGTATTGAAGATACCTTATTGAAGAACGGTATTGAAGAAACAAATTACTAATAATACTTCAAACTGGAGTTACATTCCTTATCGGTAGCTCCATTACACTGTCCAACTCAAATACTGCTGGAAGACTCATTCTGGTATGAAAGGAGAGAGATGTTGAGAAAGAGGCAGAGAAAAGGGAGAGAGGGAGGGGACCAAGAAAATAAGCCTAACGGAAATAATTTAAAGAGTAACAAAAGAAAATGAGCAAGGAAAGGAGAAAATTCAGCAGCACTGAGATCTAACTAGTCTCTAGGGCAGGAGTTGACAAACTTTTTCCATAATGGATCAGAGAGTAAATATTTTGGGCTATGAGGGCCTTATGGACTCTTGTAACTACTCAACTCTGGAGTTGTAGCTGAAAGCAGCCACAGACAATAAGTAAATGAATATGTGTGGCTGTGTTCCAACCAAACTTTATTTATAAAAAACAGGTGGCAAGCCAGATGGCCCCAGAGGCAAAGTTCACTGACCCTTTGCTCTAGGGGAAAGAATTCAAAGGGTTCATAGATACATGCCTAACACAATACTGTAGAATCTGCATTTAAAAATAATAAATCAAAAGATTTTTTATGCTTATGACAAAGGGAACTGAATTATTTTTGAAGAGAAAATATTTTCCAAATAAAAGTTTATACAAATTACAACCAATTCCATTTTCTAGGCATAACTACCAAATCTGATGTTAAATGCTAACTTCTTCCCTGACTAAAAGTAATTCTTATAAACAAAAGGAGCTATTGGTTTGACTTAAATGAGGTTCAGAAAGAAAAGATATAAAAACAGGATATTTTGAGTCATTAAACTATACATTTACTCATAATTGCAGCCCAAGAACCCAGGAAAAAGAGAAAAGAAAAAAAGAAACTGCTATATCTTGCTTCCCCACAATGGGTCAGATTATACTGTTTATTCAGGCTAGTAATTTGTCAATGAAAGAAGTATTAACAGATAATATTGAAAGTGATATATCTGTTCATTACCACCTTCTTCAAAGATTAGAGATATGCTTCAAGCTTCCCTACAATGACGAATTAATTACTCATAAATTTGTTGGATTTTTTTTTAACATCCACAACTTCCTGATGATATGCATTCCAAAACTTAATAATCTACTAAGTGACCCAGTGTTTTAGTATTTCCTTTTATTCTTCCTAAACCTAAGTTCCAAAGGAGACTATCTCATGCAGCTATCTAGTTTTTGAAGAATGAGTGTATATTCCCATTACCCATTTTATTTAGTCCTTCATTCATTCATTTCAAATCCTATCTCCACTGGTAATCCTCTATTTTTTTCATCCAAGTTCATATACCTTGACCATTCTAGTTGCCATTTTACAGACTTTCTTGATTTCTGAAGTCCTTCTGTAGCAGACACTGCTACTGTCTCAACCTACACTGCCTCATCATTCGCGGTTCCCTACATAACAGCGTCTTCTACTGTATTTGTAATACTCTGCCTGAGTGCTTTCTCTGGTCAAAGGAACATGCTTGGCCAGTGAGAAGCAGAGTTAACATCCCCTTGGAACAGCCCTAGACCAATAATAAAGAGAGTTATGGATAAATACCCCAGCTTCCTTGCCCATTATAAAGGAGAACTCTGAGGTCATTATACTCTGTCTCCCAGAAGTCACAGTAAGATTGAGACACAATTGACAAAAGAGGCAACGTGCTCTTGAATGAGCCTGGTATTCTGTTCTTTCTCTTAACTGGATCATTTCCCTCTCCCCTACACGTGGTGCCTGGGATTGCCATCCAAATAAACTATTTGCACTAAAATCTTTGTTTGCTTAAGGTGAACCTCAATCTAAGACAGTCCTCTAACCTTAAAATTCTTGGGTTCCTAAGATTTTGCACAGAGATGTGTTCATAGCATTCCAGCCATGAAATCACCACTGTTTTACCCAAAGATAGGATACACTGTCTGTTTCACTTTTGCTAGGTTTCAAATGAATTAGTACAAGCATCATTTTATTATTCTCCCAAGACACAGCAACACAGTAGGGTGATGGTTTTAGGTACCACCTAAAGTGACTCCCAGTTATCTATATCTATAACTGACAGCTCAGAACCCATCATCCTATAAGTACAGTTTTGACTTGTTTTCCACAAATGCATGACTTTATACTTGTTCACCCAGAAATGTACCTGCCACTTCCAGACAACAGAAATAGTATAAAGAAGAGTTTTTCTTCTCAATTTTCCATTCAAACAGAGGAATATGGTATATAAAAATAATCTTTCCATGAACAATTTTCATTCTTCCCCTTCCAAAGGTAGAAATAGAAGAACCATAAACACTATTTTAAAAGTCTAACACTCTGAACATGGAGAAGCCCATAGAACTGAGCCAAAATAGTAATAACACTTAGCCCATGGATACATCAAACTCATAAAACCCTTTCACCTATATGTATCTGCTTGGAAAACCACCTCATCCTTTCGGCCAAGGTAGAACCGTTGGAGACACTGTTAACCTTCCCCATTTTCTTAATTCCACTTCCTGTTAGTCTCCTCAATCCAGCCTCTCTAAAGCATCTTAAAAACCATCTCTTCTTCATTCCCATTGCTCTTATCCCAGTTTGACTTTGCTATGACAATAACCTCCTATCTAAGTTCCCTGTTTTATTTCACTTTATTCTGGAAAATCTAATAACCTGACACTTCCTCATCAAACCTAAGATTGTTCAAACCCATAGTAGCTCAAGTCCTGAACATCAGTTTCAGCATTTATATAAAACATACGGATGTTTGCATTACATTTAGACAATTCATTGTTGCCTAAACATCTCATGTATTTTTATTTCTGTTTGGAAAGAAGATTAAAAATAATATATTTACCTAAAGATTAAGCAAAATGTTTACCTGTCTGAAGCTATGTCACTGGCAATTTGGTGCGTCACTCCTGACCCATTTTTAATAGAATCCTGTCTTGTGAGCCCATGAGATCGACTTTTCTCCACTGCAGGTACAGATAAGTCACCTGAGGGTCCTTGGAACTGAGCCTGCTCATGTAGTTTTGCTTTCTTCTCCTGAGGCGCTTCCTCATTCCGCAGTCCTCGGAGAACCTTTTGATCAGGTTGCTGTGGTGTATTAGATCCACTATTATAAAACCATGCTCCTGATTTAGTGAGGATTTCTTGTTGTTTTCGGCACAAATTACATACCCACATAACCTGCATATGAATACATAGGGAAAAGAAATTAGTGTTTCCAAAAATTAAAAACAAACAAAAAGAGAGACAACAATTCAAGCCAACAAAAACAATTAAATGGTTATCCTTTCTGAATGTAATCCAGATTAACTGCTACCAGTAATTCATTCACATACTCTTTCTTCTACTTTTGTCCAAGAATTATAACGAAAGACACAGTGTTTACTGGCAGTAGAAATACCAAACTAGACTGCCAAATTACTAGTTGTTTATTTGTATTCTTTAACTAGTTTTTCTTTAAATTAGGGGCATAGTGTAGTATACAGAAATGGATTTTGAAGCTAGACAGACTTGCGTTTAAATACCAACTGCGAGATTAGAACTTTTGCAACCTTCAACAAAATACTGAACCTTCACGTCTATAAAACTTAGCATCTTTAATGATAAAATAGAGAAATCGAAATGTTAATTCTTACTTTCCTGTATTGTTTTGAGGATGGAAGATTAGAAATAATCTAAAAAAAAATAGTCTAGCACAATGCCTGGGTGGATGTTTAGACTTTCAGTAGATTACCTACTAATATTAGGTTAATCTATCACCAATTATATTACAGGCTTTTTGAGGGGGTTTTCATTTCTTTTAAGTAGACCCTAATCGCTAAAATAAAGCTAGGAAAATTGTTGATGCTCAGTAAAAACTATTTAATTACTCATAATTTGTAGGAGGACATGGGCTTTTTGATATTGTGATAAAAAATAAAATTTGCATTTTAACCATTTTTAGGTGCACAGTTCAGTAGTGTTAAATACAGTCACACTGTTGTGAAACATATCTCCAAAATTTGTTCATCTTGCAAAACTCAAAATCTATACCCATGAAATAGCAAATCCCCTTTTCTCCCTTGCCCTAGCCCCTGGTAACCACCATTCTACACTCAATTTTCTAATAGATATGCTTTTCAGACTCCAGGAATCTAAGAATATTATAACTAAGATCTGTGTACCAGAAAACCTTCACCCTCTTCTGAAAAATCTTTTTCAATTAATCAGAAAAAATAAAATCATATGTTCATGAAATGAAAGGTGAGTTCATACTTCAAGTGAGTGTTTTCTGATGTTTCGTTTACTCAAATACTGAATCTTACACAGCTCTCCAGATTGCTAAACATTTTCTCATAGTGTAAATAAACCATAATGATATAGATAACTAAAGTAAAAGATTCAACATGGTGTTTTCAACTGACACAAGGATGTTTTTATAAAATACCATTTAAATTTTTTGCTTAATCACCCATTATTCCAGTTTATATTGTTTGTATAGTCCATATCACACAACATTGTACTTGATCATTTTTTATTAGTTTGTTCCCTTTGAATTGCACATACATTTCTTTTATCTCCAACTAAATTCAAACCTGACTGGGTGCAAAGATATAGACTTTGCATAATTATTTGCATAATTAGTCCTTATAACTCATAGAACAGTAAGACTTTCTAAATGCTTACTGACTTGAATTAATTTGAACTCCTTTTGGAGGAGATATGATATCTGATATTATTGCACTGAGATTTATGTTTCATTGATTTCCAAAACAATTAGTCATCAATAACATCAAAATAAGTGACTATTTTATTTTTATAAGTAAATAGGAAAGTATTTTGGATATGAAAATACCAAAATCTTACTCAGATTTTTAAAATACAGCTCATAGTTCAAATTTCTTTTGGTTTGAAGACACACGAAATATAAACATACCGAACCCATCAGTAGTCTCAAAAATCAAATTTCAACCAAGATCTTCAGGCTTTTGATGCCATCTTGTGACAAATGTAGGTATTGCAGATCTCTTTTAAAAGAGACACAAAATAATGCTAAAATTGTTTGAATTTCAACTTTTCTGTGTTATTTTAAACAAATTACTATTCGTGTTATAGTGATAATATATGCTATATGATATATAATTCAAGGATATTAATATAAGTTCAAGAGTATTAAAGAATAACATCCTTTTGTGCCTGGTAATTGACAATGAAACAGAAATGAGAATTTATGACAGACAAGTATCCAATCACAAACACCTGCAGAAACAACCTATTGTTGCTTCATTACTTGTCACAAGGTAAGTGGGTTACTTAACCTCTTCTAGAGCAGAGATTCTCAAAGAATATCCCTGGGACAGCAGCAGCAGTATTGCCTGGGAACTCATTAGAAGTGCAATCGCATAGGTCCCCACTCCAGACCTACCGAATAGGAAATTCTGGGACACGACCCAGAAATCTGTGATTTTTTTTTTCTGTCAAATCCTACAAGTGATTTTGATGCTTGATAAAGTTAGACAAATATTGGTTAGGGGAGAAATTCCCAACTCAATATGTTGAATGGGTTACCTGTGTTCTCCTCAGAGTGGCTCTGTCAGGCCATGAACCCTGACAATTTACCTCAGAATGAACTATTCACCACACAAATAGTAATAGCATCATTTCTCCACAGCGCGCAATGAAAAAAAGACCTGGAAGCATTAGGGGCTTTGTTTTCCTCAACTGTTAACACCCAGTGGATATTAATATAAGAAAAATGAGTGTAGGGCATGAAGGATTATGTTTGATTCTTATTAAAGACTCTGTATTAATACCCTTCCTGTACTCTCTGGGCATCCATATTGGTTGCTATTTTTCTGACTAGATCCTATGCTCCCTCCTAAACTGCTAGCTCCCAGTATCCTTCTATCCTAATACCCAATTCACTTTCCTTTTCTTCTTTAACTATTTCCTCCCACTCTTAGATTAATCGTTTAGTTATCTTTAAAGCTTAGGAAGCCTAAATCCACTCTCTTCAAGTAGTACAGGGGACTGAGACTTTCACTTGAAGAAGCCCTCTATACACATAGCAACTTAATTTGTAAATTGATGAGACTGAACTACATCTCACAAACACATACACACATACATGCTATGAGATGAATTTTCACTAACTGTCTATTAGAGATAAATTCTGTGTCCATGGAAAAAAATTTAACTAATTTGGGAATAAAATCACAGGGCTTTTGTTAATGGAACCCTTTAACCAATTAAGCTAACCATCAAATGTATCTTACGATGAAGACTGCTAAAAATATCTTAGTAATATATATGCCTGTAAATCACCATGGTTAGAGCCTACTAGTTTTGGTGGTCCTCATAATTACCAAAAACATTTAGGCTCTGATAATACAAAGACATAAAGGATTCAAAGTTATAAGATATTATTAGCTTCAGTTCTAAATATGCCAAATTTTTCAAAGTAATATAGCAATATTAAAAAACGGGATTTTCACTAATGACCCATATTTTTCATTTATTGCCATATCTTACATTCCACAAACATCCTTGATGGAGTTGAAAGGGAGGAAAAAAACTAAGTAAAATAGAAATACCTCTTTAAAACCATAAAAATGGTAAATGCAATAGCTACACTAAATAGTCAAAGAAAGCAAAAAACAAAATTATGTTAAGTGCATACAATAAATTAAAGAAATGTAAAGCTCTGCAAAATTATGTGATTTTCATCTAAATAGGGATAATAAATAAAAGAGTAATTCAGAGAAGGGAAGAATTACTGGTTAGAGACCGGTGCTAATGAGACAACAAGCCAAGCTCATAAGATCAAGCTAACTCTGCACAGATAAAACAATTTGCTAGACTCTACCTCTAATCATTGCCAGCCTGCTTATAAATGTGTACATGAGTCAGACAAGAGTGTAAATTGATTAGTTTAACCTATCGCATGACTAGAAAACTGTAAAATGTCCTGGTAGCTATTAAACTTACTTCTTTTTTCTCTTGGAACACTACATTTCCCAATCTCCCTTGTAGTTAGAGATGGTCATGGCCATATTGGCCAATGGATTATAAGTGGAATGATGTGTGCCATTTCCATGACCATTAAAAAATACTCATATTCTACCATCATGCTCTTTATTCAAGACCCTAGGGGATAAAAGAGCCCCCCAAAAAAGAAGCCTGGGAACCTGAATGAGCACTTGGAAGAGAGCCGTCTGCTGATCAGCCACACTAGTGTGGACTTCTCGTAGTGAGAAATAAACTTCTATTATGTTGAGCTACAGAAACTTTTTGAGTTTATCGTTTACAGTTGATAGCACTACCTTAACTAATCTTTTTAAAGTACATATTGTAGTGAATGTGTGTCACCAGCACAGTCTTTGTATGTGAAGAACAATGCATGACTAAAGCTTGCATGTAAAAGTCCTTCAGTGTTGTTGTGGAGCCAGCTTTCACTGAGTCATAAGAACCAGTTGCGCACATTTCTTCTCAGTACCATATTCAGTAATGTGAGTTAGCTTGAAACAAGCCCTGGTGGGTCTATTTACACAAAGGAACTGGCAAATGCCACAGATTAAGGCTTTTTCCTATAGAGAACCAGTTGTTAGCATTTATCAGGACACCACTGAATATTACGCATTTACTATATTAACCCAAAAGATTAAAACTACATTCAGCGTTAGTAGACAAACTTGGGTGAAGCTATAACTTACCATAAAAACTAATTCAGCCCATAAAATTCCATTTTATTTATAGATGGACAAACAACTATTAACACTAACTCATTAATTATTTCTTCATTCAAACAATATTCACTAAATGCCTAGTGTGTGCCAGACACTATGCCCAGAGCTGGTGAATACAGCTCAACAGACAGAGATTTTGCTGTGAGTTTAAAGCATAGTGGGGGAGACTGTAACAAACAAATAATTGCACAGATATGGTTTATATTACAATTATGATAAATGCTATAAAAGGAACGCAGGTTTTCAAATATATTCCTTAAGCAATTAAAAGATCACTGTAATCTTTATATAGTAGGCTTCTGGATTACAAAACAGAAATCAGAAATTTTAATTCATCTGATACCCCAAGACAAACAGCAAGACTTTCCCAGATTCCCCATGAATGCAAACATGGCACCTCTAGCTACAGCCACGTTTGTAGGCTGAAGCAGGAAAGTTTGAGAGTGTCTTCCATAA